AAAGTCATGGAAAATGAGAGAACTACACTCCTTTGGCATAAATAGGATTGCCCTTTCCTTAAGAAAGGTAAATCGACTATCACATACTTCCATGTCTTTTCCAAGCTTCCAAGCATTGATCTTGTTATTCCTTGTTTCTGAAAAGTCAGTGAGGTGCTAACCTCTGACTTATCCCTGAGTTCTCAGACTACATTTGTTACAACTTGCCTAAACCACTCCACTACATCATACACCTGATTGCTGCATTGTGGAATAGTCTAAGCTACAACCCTCTGGCTCTGTTTCCTAAGACAGTGTGTTGTCTTAGTAAAAGCATCCCTTCCCTTGGGTGGCTAGATTCTTACATCTGGTGCACCCACCATTACAATTAGGGTAACATACATGCATAGCGAAAGCTCTAGCATAGCGAACGCTCCACTCTACTACAATTTACCATCTTCCACCTTCTAACCTCGTTTCCATCACCTAAGCCTCAAAAAAATAACGATATATAATTAAACTTAACGTGGTTTATCAGTACGTCGGACATATCAGTACCTCGGACACTTTTCCCGAATTTCCTACCCTCTAACTTCACAACGCGTTTTTTCCACCTTTTATTATGTCAGTGATTACCCAAGAAGCAAAAATCATTCTAGCTATCGAGGCTATCCGAACATCAAAAAATCTAAGTCGTCGGAAGGCTGCTAAGCTCTATGAAGTACCTCATTCTACACTCTGCGACAGAATGAACGGCCGAACTACTGTCTACGAACGCCAGCCTGCAATGATGAAATTAACTATACTAGAAGAGGAGGTGGTTATTCGGAATATACTTGATATGGATTTAAGAGGATTTGCACCCCGGCTTGCTGGTGTAGAAGATATGGCAAATTTTATACTCGAGTCGCGTGGAGAGAGGCGCGTCGGGAAGCTCTGGGCCCACCGATTTGTACAACGACGTCCAGAATTAAAGACGCGTTTTAATCGCGTTTACGACTTCCAAAGGGCCTTGTGCGAAGATCCTGAACTAATTGGCGCGTGGTTTCGACTAGTGGAAAATATGAGGGCAAAATATGGTGTTTTGGACTGCGACTTCTATAACTTTGACGAAACTGGGTTTATGATGGGTGTGATTTGCCCTGCAATGGTTGTTACCCGTGCAGATCGACTTGGCAGAGGTAAGGCAGTTCAGCCAGGGAATCGGGAATGGGCTACAGCGATTGCTTGTATCAACAGTGACGGCTGGAGTATTCCTCCATTTTTGGTAGTTAAAGGCAAGAATCATCTTGCAAATTGGTATACAGACGGCGGCCTTCCACACAACTGGGTTGTTAAACCGACAAGCAATGGATGGACAAACAATGAGACGGGTCTAGAATGGTTGAAACACTTCGACAAACATACTGCTGTTCGTGCAAGGGGTCCATATCGAATGCTGGTGTTAGACGGGCACGAGAGTCATGAATCGGCCGAGTTCCAAGAGTACTGCAAGGCACACAACATTATAACTCTTGGACTACCTCCCCACTCGTCTCATTTAACTCAGCCACTTGATGTCGGGTGCTTTAGTGTGTTGAAGCGGGCATATGGTCGGCAGATTGAGACCTTCATTAAGGCTCATATCAACCACATTACCAAGGTCGAGTTCTTTCTCGCCTTTAGAGCAGCATATCTGGAATCCATGACAGCCCAAAACGCCCAGTCCGGGTTCCGCGGAGCTGGCTTAGTGCCTTTCGACCCGCAAGCAGTGCTTTCAAAGCTTGACGTGAGGTTACGGACTCCAACTCCCTCTAGACCCTCTACTGCCAACACCAACCCTTGGGTCTCCCAGACCCCTTCCAACCCAACTGAAGCTCTTTCACAAACAACCCTCGTTCGAAATCGAATTGCCCGTCACCAAGGAAGCTCGCCAACTCCACTCTTCGGGACAGTTATTGCATTGGCAAAGGGTACGGAGTGACTAGCACATGAGAACACCCTTCTGTCTGCTGAGGTACGTACCCTTCGAGCAGCCAACGAAGCCCTTAGCAAACGCCGCAGGGCTAAAAAGGCTCGTGTCCGTGAAGGAGGTGCACTTATAGTAGAGGATGCACAGGCTATTATCGCACAGAAGGATGTGGATGAGCAGGTACGACGCGACGTACGTGCTGTTGGGGGTAGTCACAAGGAGGGGCAACCGTCTAGGCGATGCTGTGGGATCTGTGGAAAAGCTGGTCATAATGCGCGAACTTGTCAAGAAGCTATAGATATGTCTAGTTCATCTGATTCCGCTTAGTTATAGTTAATTTAATATGTTATGGTTGATTTATTGATATTCAAAGTAGAATGCCAATGAAAAGTGTCCGAGGTACTGATATGTCCGACGTACTGATAAACCACGTTAGCCTTATTAGCTATTAAGAATGATTCTTCGTTAAGTCTTAGGCGCGCAGCTGATATCTACAGAGTACACCATACAAAGCTAAGCCGTCACATACATAGAAAGCAGTCACGACACAACTAAGTAGCCAACTTGATGAAATTGACCAATCTAGAAGAGTCTGTCATTATTCAATACATATTTAACTTAGATTCGAAAGGATTCCCTCCTAGACTTCGTAGTGTGGAAGATATGACCAACCACATCCTTATAGACTGCAACACACTACGTGTTAGACCATGTTAGACTTTAAACTTCATTAGGCGACCAACTATGAATAAGCTTTGGATCTTCACATTTAGCCCTCGAATAGTCGTATTTTCGATTAATACACATGTTAAGTGCTGGTTGTCTATGCTTGTGCAGAACACAATTGTGAAATACGCTATTTAAGATGTAGATATCTACAACTTTGATGAGACTGGGTTTTTGATGGGCGTGATCTTAACTATAACAGTAGTTACAAGCTCTAAGCAATAGGGAAGGCCAGAATCAAAGCAGCCTGGCAATTAGGAATGAGTAACAGTAATCCAAGGTGTTAGTGCGCTTAGCTGGGCCTTACCACCGTTTGTAGTTGTAAAGGGCAAATTCCACCTCTGATCTTAGTATGAGGATAGGCAACTACCTAAGACTTAGAAGGTCTATCTAAGCGAAAATGGGTATACAACAACTGAGATCACTCTAGATTTTAAGCACTTCGATCAATATACTAGGCCACAGACTATTAGTGTATATCACCTTTTAATCCTTAATGGTCATGAGAGCCACCACTCTGTCGCCTTTGAGGAATACTCCAAGGATAATAGCATTATTACTCTCATCTCCTCCAACCTCTTGATGTTGGCTGTTTTAGCCCATTAAAAAAGGCCTAGGTTGGCATTGTTAGAAGCAGAGAACCAAATGCTCCGAACGAATGTAAGGACTGAAACGCGCCCTCAGCGTTATGGCAACTGCAGGGAGGCTGGACATAACACGAGGACCTGTCAGGTAGTAGTAGAAACATCCGAGGAAGATGATTCCACGTAGTTTGAATTACTTAAGCATTGTGGTTTGTGTAATAGCTGTTACAAAATGTGCAGGCTGGAGCTTTCACTAACTTTATGCATGTACAGTCACTGACCACTGCTATTAACCGAATCGCAAAACCACCCGCGAAGCCACCGAACGTAGATAATTAATTTGCTCGTAACATATGCAATTTTAGAGCGATAGATGTAAACATTGATCCATTGTAATTAGAATTGAAAGCTATACAAAATAAGCCCCTATAGTATATAGTATAAAAAATGAGTATTCTAGTATTTTGTATGCCACCCGTCTGCTTGAATGCACGCCTCAATTCTACTCGGCATACTCTTATACAATTTATCAAACAATGACTTGTCTAATGTGTCCCATGCTGCTTGCAAACATGATTCTAGACGCTGTCTTGCATGTTCTGAGTTTGGTTTATCCTTTGCAATTTCAGGGAACATCTCACACACCCGGGTTTTCAAGTGCCACCAAACGTGCTCAATTGGGTTGAGGTCAGGTGAGTAGGGCGGCCACCCATAGAGTGTAGTAATCATATGCTCCTCAAGAAAGTCTGTAACCATACCCGCAGTATGGATAGGAGCATTATCTTGCATAAATGAGTAGCTAGAGTCAAGACTCTCAAAAATAGGGAGGAGTTCTGCTTCTAGAACCTCAAGGTATGAGTTTGCAGTATATCCAAACTTCTTTGACTCAAAGTCATGGTCCATAAGGTATAAATTGCTCCGGCCTTCTGCCCAAAAGGCCCCCCAAACCATGATCTTCATGTTCTTCTTTGTACTGTAGGTTTGGATCATCTCCCGCTGCCACTTCTGAGCAGGTGTGCGGAAACACCACTCGCTCCTGTTACCCTGCCCCCGCTCAACAGAGCACTCATCACTCCACACAACTTGACCCCAATCCTCTGCTGTCCAATTCATCCGTGCTAAACACCATGCAAGCCATTTAGCTGCATGTATTGGCAGTAGGAAAGGGCGACACTTTGCACGCCAATTGCCTATGCCTGCTTCTTGTAGTATCCTCTTTATAGTTGATGTTGAGCAAGCAACATTACAAGCATCCTTTACTTCTTGGTATGTATCCTTTGGGTTTAGGCGTACATGGCAGAGTATAAGGCGTTGCTCTGCTTCTGTATATGACTTTCCCCGTGGTGTATGGGGTAGGCTCTTACCTTCGGTGCGTATTGAGTCAACTGCAATTGTATATCGTACGGTGCTTCGGTCAAGGTTTAGGTCGTGTGCAATCTTAGTAGGTGTTGCACCCTATGACTGCCTCCCAATAATCTGCCCGCGTTGGTATGGGCTTAATTGGCCACCAGGCTGTCGATTCCCATCAATTGGAGCCAAAGCCCTCCGAGTTGGTGGCATAATTATGGTTGTTGTACAAGGAGGGGTGGGTTACGTGACGCGATTTACGCGTCAAATTGGAATTCGGTTAATAGCAGTGGTCTAGTACTGTACGTTGGTAGGAAATAGATTTTTTGTAATTTTTATTTTAGGTGATGGGGTGGCTCTAGTGAGTAGCCTAGTTACGCCATGACCCTACGTTACTCCAACCACTCCAACCACTCCAACCACTCAAACCACACACAACACTGATTGATGGCCGAACAACCATCCCCATCCTCCTTGCTCTCCCATGCCCTTCATAGCCCCATCCTATCTGCCCCCATATGCCATCCTTCCTATTTATCCCTCCGCTCCGCACACCTGCTTGACCGACGACAAACTTCACCTTGATCCTGCCATGCGCCTGCTGTGATTGCCCTGTAGGGGTCCAAACCCGCCGAAGCTATGGATGACGCGCTACACCAGGGGACTAGCCGCGACGACGAGACGCTTGGAAATGCCCCCACCGAGGCCTCTGCGGCAAAGAATGCGGCCAATGCACGAGCGTCGCGACGGCGGACGAAGACGGGGTGTCTGAGTGAGTTCATATCCTTATCATACCCTCACCGGCTCCATATATGCGTACAGAGCTGACTCCCCTCTAGCTTGCCGACGACGGCGAATAAAATGCGGCGAGGAGCGCCCTACCTGCGGCAATTGCATCAAGTCGAAGCGCCAATGCGAGGGGTATAACCAACGTGTTATCTTCAAAGATCCATTGAACACCTACCGAGGCCCGACCAGCAGCATTGAGACCCATTCCGGATTTGTTGCAAGGCCCATACGACAGCAGGGCTCGCTGGGCTCTCATGGTCGACCCGTACAATCGAAGGATCCACCAGGAGTGTCACAGCACAACATCCCGCTCAAGACCAGAGGCTCTTCACAATCAGATACCAGCAGACCTGCGACCGTCTTCCAGGGCTTCGTTCACAATGATTCCGCTACTTTTCAACCGCAGCAAAGCATAGTCAATCCTTTGCGCCGAGAATCGGACATCAGCCATGGAGGGTCAGAAGCATCCGCGCAATGGGACAATCCCGTGGATAGTGCACTACTCTCCGGTCTATTGGATGCCCAATGGACCACAGCCCCACAGCCACCTCAATACCACTATGAGCCTACATACCAGGAGCCTTACGAAGCTCAAGCGCAGACGACCCATGATTCGTATCTGTACGACACGCCAATGCAGCAGGCCTGCAATATGGGAAACAGAAGCTCTGACCTGAGTAACCTTTTGCCCGGGCCTCAGGGGACACACGTGGACAATGTCAATCATGCAGAAGCTTACCAGCAAGAATACCAAACTCCGACTCAGCAGGGCACCTGGAGCCAAGTAGCCCGCCGTATTATGTCATCGCCGCCGTACGAGCCAGTCACCAATGAATTCTATGACACGAGGAATCCAATCCATAGAACAGACGAGGAGGACGAAGGCGACGATGATAGTGACCCGTTCGACGTTTCTGACGACGAGGACGAAGACGAAGACGCACGCAATGACGGAGCTTATGTTGATCCCAGGTCACGAGAGATCCAGAGGCTCAGAAGAGACAATGAGCTTGCGACCGTTGTGGCTATTCAAGCGGCGCAAACTCGAGAAGATACACGGATCCGCACATATCACTCTGTGATAGAGAACTACGGCCCGAATATGCTTGCTAGCTATCATCCTTCAGCCCGGGACTCGCCGTTGAGCAATCCTATTGCGGCGGGGATATTTTGCCATTTTATCAATGTCATTGCGCCGAGTATGTCTATGTTTGAACGTCACCCCACGAATCCATCTATTGTGTTTCGAGGGAATCCAGTACCGAAATCTCAGCAGCATATCTGGTCCTGTAAGTCACTATCTTGACATGAAGAGACCCAATACTAACTTGTTCCAGATACTATGCCTACCATCGCGCTTCGGAACCATGCCCTTTGCCACGCGATGTTGGCAATGGCAAGTCTCCATATCGCAAAGCTAGAAAACGGACCCATCACCGTATCACTAAGACACTACCATATTGCGATCAGGAAGCTGGCAAAGAATGTAGGCTCCTCCACCAGGCGCAAACAGCTGGCGACTTTGGCCACCACACTACTTCTCGGATTTTACGAGGTTATCTCTGCAGACCACAGTAAATGGTGCGATCATCTCCTTGGAGCACATCAGCTGGTTCAGCAGATTGATTTTTCTGGAATAACTCGATATTTGAAGACCAAGAAGGCATATATGGCAAAGTTGCCACCTCCAAATGTATATTATGGCGGCGACATGGCTGCTGATACCCCGATCATATATGGCGATGATAGCATGGAAGATCCGAGTCTATCTATGAACGATGAAGTTGACGAAAACCTCGTTGGAATTATCATGGGGAAGCAAATCAGATATGCCGAATACGGAGAGGTTATTGAGGATCCTGATGGACCGTATATGGGGAATAAAAGGTTTACGCAGCGCGAACTGGATCTATTTGATACCCAGCAAGATCTTTTTTGGTGGTATACCAAGCAAGATGTCTTTCAGAGCATTCTCAGCCAAAATAGGCTATTGTATGTTTGCAACCTCGCGATAACGTACCTACATACTGATCGTTTAGTTTAAACTACGAGAGATGGAGTCACTGTCCTCCACGAGCACCCCTCGGTCGCCGTGATGCTGTGTATGACGGCCTACTTCCCTTATATCTACTGATTTGCTGACCTTTTCTAGATATGGTACATTCGACCATTTGGTGCTATTGCTGGGAAGACTGTGCTGTTTTGTCGCTAAAGACGTGAGGCGAAAGAAAAGAGCAATGGCAGCTAACAGAGGGCAATGGGGACCGCCTCCGGGCCCACCGGGGGCCCCAAATTCAGGGCCGGCAATGCCTCCCAATCAGCAACCTAAAGGCGGACCGGGAATGCCGCCACCAGGAATGTCTGTGCCAGCAATGCCTTCGTTTTCCGGTATGCTACCAGGCATTCGCAAAGCTTCATTACCCAGAGGATTCAGCCCATCAAGTGAAGACTCATCACCGCCAAATAGCGATGAAGGTGACGAACGCCTCAGCGAGCAAACTGCTAAGGCCGAGGAGGAGTGGAACGGGATACGAAGCGTGTTCAGCATGTTCGAACAGCATCTAGGACCGGATTTTGCACCCCTAGGATCTGAATACGCCCAAGAAATCCTATCGCCTTTCGGCCCGGCAATCCAGTATCGTACTTACGGTATCGCTTTGATGTGGCTCACATACTATATGGGCCTCATCGTCTGCCACAGATCACATCCTTCAATGCCCCCATCAGCCATGATGGCAGCTGGGTTTGCGGCCCAGCAAACGGGACTGTTTGCGAATACGATTGGCCGGATATCGGCTGGTATAACGGCCGATACATCGTCGGCGACGCGAGTGAATATTGGAACCGGTGCAGCCCTCAACGACTCCTGCTTTGCCCTCTTTGTCGCTGGGGTCCAGGTGTGTAGACTTCTATTTTAAATCTCATGGACGGATGCTAATATATACATTTAGGTACAAGATCAAGCCCAGCGAACTTGGCTTGTTAAGCGAATGCTGGATATAGAGCATCTCACTGGATTTGAGACAGCTAGCCACATCGCCAGAGGCTGCGAGACTTCTTGGGCAAGGGCCGCGGCGATGGGTAAAGGGGCTCCTTATACTCGGTATACGGAGCAGGCTCCTGTAGACAAAGTGTGGAGCCGAGCGGGCCAGAGAATGGAGCGGATGAGGATCACTGCTGGAGAAGAGCAGCACGTCCATTCTCAGAGCACGGAGAAGGTGGGGAGAGTCCAGTTTGCGGTTGGTATACTTGGAGTTACGAACCACTTTGGGGAGCTGGATTTAGAAAGTGATGATGAGGAAGATCGATGAATGCATGGCTTGGGAGTATGGATAAAGGGGGCACTGTGGTGTTTTGAGTTCCATCGCATCTAGTGTGTAATTCAAAAATAATGACCTCACGCTTCTCTAATCAGCATAAAACATACAGATGCCAGATGCCAGTGACTTTTGCTTTCAGGAACTCCAATCTCTATCATAAAATACATAGCTCAGTCTAGTTCGCTGGTAATCTCTCCACGACCGCAGCCATCTCCTCATCCGTGTAAATCCGGAATCCCCTCGCCTTAGTCACACTCGCCAGCTGAACATTCTTGGAATCGAGCTTCTCCTCCATAACCTGCTTCAGTGTCTTCAGAACCAACGTCTCGGCCTCCTCAATCGTCAGAGACTACACCAACACTATTAGCAACCATCCAAGTCTCCCATCTCTCATCTCATCCCATCACCAGAAAACCTACCTTGTGGAACTCATTCTGCAACTCCGCCTGCGCCCCCTCCGACCCCGACCCAATAGCCTTAGCATCATACCTATAAAACGTCCCACTCGGCTCCGCATGATACAGCTGCGGCCCATCCTCATCAAACCCCGCAATCAACAACGCCACCCCAAACGGCCTACTCATAATACTCTCCTCCCCATCCGCGCCCTCCCCAAACCTCAACGCAAGGTCGCAAATCGCCTGCGTACAGCTCTCCACGCGCAGCGGCTCGTTGTAGTTGAAAGCGTGGTTCTGCGACTCGACGCGCGCGTGCTCGACCATGCTGCGCGCGTCGGCTTGGAGTCCGGACATGGCGCACCCGATGTGCCGGTCGATTTCGACGATCTTTTCGACGGAGGAGGTCTCGAGGAGGGTGGAGGTCACGCGCTTTTCGACGCCGAGGACGACGCCGCCGCCGGTGGCGACGCCGATGGCGGTCGAGCCGAGCTTGATTGCTTCGAGGGAGTATTCGACTTGGAAGAGGCGGCCTTCGGGGGAGAAGGTGCTGGGGGGTTGGTTAGATCGGTGAGGATGTGGAGGGAGGGGGTGGGGGTAGGCTGGAGGGGGATGGGGCTTACTTGATCCCTCGATCTGTGAAGATTTGTTAGTTTGGAGCTGTGGTTTTGGAAGAATGTGGTCCACCTGGGTGGCTACTCACCATATTCCGAACGTGCGATAAACATGCTTGTTTGCTTGCTGGACTCTACCAGGCTTGAGCTGAGGATGTGTAAATGTGAACCGTAGCTTGAGACAGACGTGTATCTCGGTGTGGAGGTTTCTGTTTGCCTGGGTATCACGGAGAAATGGGAGTAATGAGGTTGTTGTTGGAAATCAAAGCTTGGGTCCTGGGTTGATGGCAAGGCAGGCACTGGTCCACGAAGCTGTGGTCGAATGGAGCTAGAGCGTGTCGGCGGGTCGCTACCCCACGCGTCACCAAAGAGCGAGAAATGGAAATGACAAGGCTGAGCTGTTTTCTCCATGGAACCAAAGGATTTTTTTACGACTTCGACAATAACTGGAGAGTCGTATAATGTCTTCATCCTCGAACCAAAGGGCTGCGACAATTAGTGACAGGAGGACTACCAGCGGTGACAATGTTATGAGCTCCAAAGCCCGTCTGGCTTCGACATTGGGAGGAGGAAGCAAAACCGACAGAGATGGACGACAATCACAGTCACCACAGAATGCGCCCGGTGTCTCCCAGCACAGGCGCATGCCATCTGGCTCGCAGCCCCAGCGCTCCAGCAGAACAGCAGTAGAGGAGAGACGAACAGAGCGCCACCAAGTAACAACCCGCGAGACCATCTCTTCACGACCACGAAGCCCTGAGCGACGACAGGCACCCCCCGTGGTGCCGACAAGCCGCGCCAGACCCGTCGACCGTACGAGATATGCTACGCCAGATGTTAAACCGATACCGAGCAAACCTGAGCCTCAGCAGCTTCTTTGGGACCCTCGAGCTGTTCTGATACCCCACACGAGTGCACCATTGGCGGCACGAATCTCGATCCCTCCCCTGGCTTCCCAGGCACCACAATCGCTACAGCCTAGACCTCTGCAGGAGCTGTCACTCGATGCGCAGGAGTCGTCTATTCTGGAGGACCTGCTGTTCGTTTTTATGGGCTACGAGGGACAGTACATACGATTTGCGCCGTCATACAATCCCAGTGCCGAGAAGGAACGGCTTGCTGGTCCGACATTTAAAATACACCCGGGCTTGGACCCGAGTCTGCGCGACCTTACGACGACTATGCTGAAGATGGCTACTCATTATATGGCCGTGGAAGCGTTTGTTGAAGTGCAGAGCAGAGAGGAGTTTGGGGCTGTGAACCATGCTCTTTGCGCGGCTATACGGAAGCTTTTACAGGATTATCTTGTTCTGATCGCTCAGCTGGAGACGCAGTTCCTTACAAATCCGTCGTTTACTTTGCATGTTCTCAACCTCCATACGCTTCCTACGAGTCATATGATGTTCCAGGTTTATTCGTTGGCGCATGAGATATTAAAACGGAATTCCTTGTTAGAAGAGGATTTGGAGGACTCAGAAGGCGATTTCGACGACATTGAAAATATTTTGGAGAATCTCCGAGAGGGCGGTGATCTTGGGCCGGGTAGCATACCTGGCAAGAAGATCTGCAAGGGAGGGAATGTGTTGGGTTTGATGACAAGGAGGCTCGAAACTATGTCGGGAGATCCGGCGGCGAGAACACTGCTGACTGGATTGCTGCGGGATGCAAGCCGGCCTTATATGATGATGCTGAACGAGTGGCTCCATCATGGGAGCATAAAAGACCCGCATGCAGAGTTCTTGGTTAAGGAGCAGAAGAGTATCAAGCGCGAAAGGCTGGAACAGGACTATACCGACGAGTACTGGGAACGGCGATATACGGTTCGAGAGCAAGATGTGCCTCCACAGCTGGAGGCTGTCAAAGACAAGGTCCTGTTGGCTGGAAAGTATCTCAACGTTGTCAGAGAGTGTGGTGGAGTGGATGTGAGCAAGGCCGTCAAGGACGTGCCAAGATCATTCGACGACAATCGATTCCTAGACAACGTCAACAGCGCATACGCACACGCGAACGAGTCGCTTCTGAGACTATTACTCACAACCCATGCACTCCCTGCCCGCCTGAGGTCGCTGAAGCATTACTTTTTCTTGGATCAATCGGATTTCTTCTCATACTTTCTTGAATTGGGAACATCCGAGCTTCGAAAGCCGGTCAAGGCTGTCAACACAAGCAAGCTACAGTCACTGTTGGATCTTGTTCTACGTCAGCCTGGCAGTGTTGCCGCACTTGATCCTTTCAAGGAGGATGTCAAGGTTGAGATGAATGATATCAGCTTGACAAACTCATTGACAAGAGTTGTCAACATCTCTGGCATAGAAGAGGGCGAGAAATTCCAGGCCCCGGCGCAGACAACGGCAGAGACAGAAAAATCGGCTATTGGCTACACATCTCTCCAACTAGATTACTCGGTTCCGTTCCCTGTATCTCTGGTTATCAGTCGCAAGACAGTATGGAGATACCAGGCTCTCTTTCGATATCTGCTTTCGCTTCGCTATCTGGAGCAGCAGCTCGTTTCGAGCTGGCAGACTCACAACCGAGCAACGGTGTGGACTCATAAGAGCTCGCACAGGCCTATGGAAATGTGGAAACGAAGAGCTTGGACTTTACGAGCCCGTATGCTTGTGTTTGTACAGCAGCTGTTGTACTTCTGTACTGCTGAGGTTATTGAGCCGAATTGGCAGGCTCTCATGGCGCGACTGAAGACCAGGGACGAGAATAAGGATGACTCTGCACCGGCGAGCCGCACTGTTGATGAGCTGATGCAGGATCACGTCGACTTTCTTGATACTTGCCTGAAGGAGTGTATGCTAACTAATAGCCGGCTATTGAGGGTGCGTATTCGCTTTATTTAATGTTGTCCATATCAGATACTGACCATCGATAGGTGCACTCGAAACTAATGCAAACTTGCTCCATGTTCGCCAGCTACACGGCATGGCTCTCGAGGGAATTGGAGAAGACCGATACGGACTTGAACGGCCCCAACAAACCAAATAACATGAGCAAGAAGCAATGGCAACGGTTCCAAGACGAGCGAAGCGCGCGACACTCCGACTCGACCTCCTCCAACGCCGGAAAGGTCAGCGAGGCAGCCAGACTCGAGAAAATCAACGAGACGCTCCACAAATACGAATACAATTTCAGCAGACATCTCCAGATTCTGCTAGACAGTCTCAACCACTACGCCGCCACCGAGACCGTCGTGCTTCTCGGCCTTTGCGCCAGACTCAGCACGGCAAACCAAGGAACGCCGTTTAGTGGCCTGAGGACTGACGAGGATGGTATTGCATGATCGGTTGTCTTCTGAATAAGTTGTCTTCTGAATAACATTGAAAGTATTGAGCGGCGTTTGGGGAAAAGGTTTAATGATATCCATGTCTACCAAGAAGTTTCCTCTTGATGAAGCGACCCGTGGAGTTTTACATACCAAGCCAGAATGGGCAGATCCGGTAGTAGTTACAGCCGGGTAGGAGTAGCGTGTCATTAGATGTATATAAATGTACTGTACAATAAGTGCCTCAATGGCACTCACAATATTCTGTCCCCAGCCACCCTCAGTGCCCCATTGCATCGTACAACCCCCCCGACCAGAATCTCCCAACCACCCCCTACGCCAGCAACTCCTTTACAATCCTCGCCACATCCGCCCTCTCCACATTCCTCTCCCCCAACATCTCCTTACTAAACACCTTCTTCAGCACCTCCCCCATCTGCACCTTCTTCCCCCCCGCCTCCGCCCTCAACCCCTCCACCACCCCCCCAACAACCCTCCTAATCTCCTCCTCCCCCACCGTCTTCACCTCCCCAATATACTCCTCCATAACCCTCATCTGCTCCGCCTCCTTATCCGCCAAATCCTGCCTCCCCGCCTCCACAAACCCCGCCGCGGCCTGCTTGCTCGCCGCCGCGTTCTTGCGCACAAGGGCTAGCATCTGCATATCCGTCACGATGGGCGAGTTGGTCTTGGAGGCGTTGAGGGATTGCGAGAGCAGCGCGCGGAGGACGTTGAGCTTGTTCTTGTCCTTGTCTTGCATCGCGGTCTTGAGATCCTTGCTGCAGAGGAGGGGAGGTTAGTGGGGTGTTGCTTGACGGATGGGGTGGGATGGGGAGGTGAAAGCGGCACCGGATCTTAAGCAGCATTGGGGGCGCGGTGCCAGTTCCCGTCGTGCTGGACGAATAGAAGCGACAGCATGGTCGCGCAGCTCTGAATACGGTTCGGGAAAGCATGATGGCGTATATGTGCTATTCGTTGAGTTATCGTGAAGCTGTTGCAGACCCAATGGATCAATCGCGCGGTGCCGTGCAACTCGTGATGTCAACTTTTTTGCAGGCCCGTTACGCGGAATGGGAGGCTAGACGCGCCGTCCGAGACGCGGGCCGTAATCATTGCGGGACCCCTGCAATCATGGGGGGGGAACTGTTTTAAGGTTTCATTAACTCGCTTCCCGTCTGAAGTCCCACGTTGTTCAGAGAAATGCGGTAAAATGCGGTACAACACTCTCCTAGGGTGGTGTAATATCAAATTTGGTTTCTTTTGCCCCTGGAGACTGCATATATGGCCCGTCTCTAGCCAGCCAGATCTAAACAAGTCTCAAGAAAATAGGACGGGATGAGTTCTTTTTAATCTCTCGTTCTTATTTTTAGTTGGTTTTATTCTTGAGACACCGCCTGTTCATTGTAATTTACCCACTTTTACTAATTCCACAAGGGCAAGAGAACTTTCCATCGTGATTTCAATAAGTACAACGGGCGTGATATTACCAAAGTAGACCCGTCCTGCATCCTCGACATATGGGAAAGAGTAGAGATGAGGGGATATTGATATCGAGGGAATAGCATGTGAAAAACAGTCTCAGATGGACAGTAAGGGATGGACAGTAAGGGTGCTTCCACTAGAGATTCTCACACGTTCCATCAGAGTATGCTCCGCAAACCCATACCGTCCCGCAATAGTTGTATTAGAGCCCTTGTCGATTATCGTTTGAAAGTCAGGCCGGAGGATTTTCAGGACCACACTAGAGTATAAGTAGTTCAGTTCCAGGCGTCCTCTGAAGCTTGCACGCAGCCTATGCTATTCGCGGGCCACCTATACCTTTCTGAGACCAAGAACAACTGGTTTTATCTCCTCAACTGGACTCTATTCGACGCCTCATCGCCATGACACCATCAGGACCCTGTATGTCTCCTCAGGGGGCCAAGGAAATTAGGAGAAGGGGAACTCATGGAGGCGAACACTTGCCTTGTTTTGGTCGGTACTCAGCGCGAATACAGCCATACACAGCCATACACAGCCATACGGATGATGCAAGCAACCATTGCTTACAACGTAAGGCAAGGTAATCGGGTCAGACCTGATTTGGCGGGTCCGACTTTGGTGTGCTGTACCGAATTACCGGTATCAAATATTCCACATGGGGCGTTTGACTGGGTAGCACAACCATGCAAGCGTAGATTTTCCCTTGATGTTTAAGACGGCGGGATGTCGGGCCAGCCAAGGCAAGTGGTACAGTGGTAAAGTACAAGGCTAGTAACGGGTGTAGGCGCCATCGTCTTGTCCAACGTGTGTTTCTGGCTCCTCCAGACGGTCCAAAACAGACTATCCTATATTCCATTCGCTTCAGCCAACAGGCCCACTTCGACGTACTGTAGTTCCAAAATTCCTGTAGGAGAAATACACCAAAGTCCCGGGAGGCATGATGTCCAGTTGGCAGACGCCCTGTAACCTTAGCGGCAACTGGTTAACACCAAGTTGAACGCTCCGCCATTGTCTGTATGATTAGCCAGAGTCCGTTGTCGGTATATCTCCGCATATCTTAGCTTTTTGTAAGCAATTCTATTGGGTTGGACATGTCACCCATCAGCAACCATGTCAGCCCTTCCAACGGCTCAATAATAATTCCAACAGTGTGATAATTAGTTCCGGTTGGTGTACAGTAGTTGGGCTGCCTATAAAGACTGGCAGGAGAAGTCCATCACATCAACGACACCCAAGGTTTAGAAAAGTACAAGCCATCGTCCCAGCGAATCGGTCAGAGTCTGACAAACGGTCGGAAACATAGCACTCCTCCCAAGATGTCGTCCAGGTAAGCTACCGATTTAAGTCCATCCGCATTAATACGTGCGGAGTTGACGTCGGACAAGTTCTCGTGAGCATGATGAAGGCACCACCGAAGTTGACCCCCGCTATCTGGAAACGGTCACATACCATAACAGGGAGTTCCAACAGCATTCCGTAGAGAATTCAATATATTTCTCGCCTATTGACGAGGTGATAATCGACATGCCTCCAGCAGGGGCCCTCCTGATACCCTAAGGTTGTCGCTAACTTGTGGTAGGACGAGATTGAGCGCCTGACGCGCCAGCACAGGCTTCTTTCCATCGTCTTCGACGAACGCCTCGTATTCCCGCCCGTCAATAACCCAAGAAGAATCCTCGACTGTGGACATGGATCTGCGTCATGGGCTGTCGATGTAGCTGAGCAGTATCCGCGCTGTGAGGTTTGTAGACGTTCATCTTGCAACAGCGATACTCCTGAATCAGCATAGCGAATGGTCCTCCGTGCAAGCGACAAGGAGCGACAAGGAGCGACGAGGAGCAATGCAAATTTGACTATAACCATGCCTAGAGGATCAACGAGCTGACTTTCCTCCAACCACTTTAGGTCTATGGTGTCGACATAAGCAGCCACATGCAGCCAGATGAAATACCTGTCAATCTCCATCTCCAGGTATGTTTCCACACTAAATAGTACCCCTCTTTCCAGCATTCTCGGTCGCTGCTTGCCCTTGATATTGCAATTTCGCAAGCTGAACTTTGCCATCACACCGCGAGTTACGATCCCACAGCCCAAGGCCGGGCAATGTGGACAATGACGTCCATAACCCGTCTTTTGTTACCCGCACAGCTGCCAACACAACACATGCTGATGAGCTAAAAACCTAGGTCGACGATCTCAATCGAAGGTTAGTAGGGCTCAGACTCTTTGATCGAGGCTATAACCTGACGAGAACTCCAGATTCACCTTCGCTCGAAACTCATTCGACATAGTCCACTCCCAGCTCGTAGCAGGTGACGCTGAACCACGCTGTGATGTCCAAAGACCGAAGCTGATGAATCCAAACAGGCGGCATCAACGCAGCGCGATGGACCACATACCTTCGAGACCTATTCCGCGTCACAAGACCAGGTGCGAAACAAACCATTCGAAAGATAAGACTAGCAGCTGTTGATTTGTGCGCTCCACAGGTGGTTGGTGTCAAATGGTCGAAGTCTATTACCAGGTTCAGTCGTACAACGGCACGTTGACCGATGGTATGCTGTTGGCGTCTCGAAATAAACTGGCTGAGATGTTGATTATACGGCAGAACATGGCCTTCGACAGTGGAGCACACAAATGTTCCAAAGCATGGAAGGCCTCAAGGATCTCAGGATGCCTCTGCACCTGGCCAATGCAATGCGGACCGCCGGGTTCGTGGATATCGATCATAGAATGATACCTTTGCCCACGTGCGCATGGTCCGATGGTGAGTTGAACTTCGGCCAGCAATGCAAATAGTCGTCAGGCACTGACTGAAATTATCAACCAAGACGAACGAGAACGAAGGATCGGCGCCGAAAATAGAGACAACGTCCAGAGCTTTCTATCCTCTCTGGCAATATACCCGTTAAGTATGTTACTCTGCTCGGATCGTCGATCAAGAGAATCTGCCGTTAACACAGTCCCACAGCTGAGAGGCTCGGAATGGCACCGAATGACGTTCAGCTTCTGATAGCCCATGCCCGAAATGAAGCGGATAACCCCGTGTTCAAGGTAAGTGGCATGACCAACAGTTGGTAGCATTTCTAATCCAGTGGGGGTTCGCAGGCGTATTTTCCACTGTAAGTACAACGCCCGTGTTCGTTGTATATGGCTGACAATGCCCGCAAGATATGTTTGCATTGGTCGAAAGGCGCCTCAGTCACGATAGCTTCGGCGTCGAGCAGAGGTGTACGGTGGTACACACTGGCATGAGTTCCATTGTGTACGAGGTTTTGTCGAGAGGGGGGTCGCCATAAGCGGGACGCTTTGGATATCGTTGTTTGGGGCAAGAGCGCTTGGTAATATTAGTAAATATATCCTGGTGTTACAATCTAGAGCCTACATACCAATTTCGATTGGGTTGGTATGAATGGACTGACGCTTGTGAGAGGCAGGTGCGTTCAGTGAATGCTCATCGTGGCTTCCAAAGCATCGACTCTGACTGCTCCTTTCTTGCAAGACTCTTCATCGCCATCCCACAAAATAATAACAGAGATTCCGAACCGATCTACTGAGTTCCGTGAAGCCCATGAGACAGAGTAGCAAAGCTGCCTCCACGATTGACGTGTTACTCCCAGTGAAGAAGCTCTGGCTTCATAGGTCAGTTCGTGTCTCCAATCTCTCTGTGAGGGCCATTGTGGATGGATAATTGATAGGCTGTCTGGCTCTGAGCATGGTTGCGCAGGTTTGCTGCCTGACGAGACCCTGCAGAAGGTAATGATGACTTTTATGAGAACCAGGTCGACGAGAACGCCGAGAAGAGCGCCTCTACCATCACAAATGCGCGTGGGGGGCGTAGGAGAGCCCAGCAGCGATTGGATGTAGGTATAAACAGTCCCTCTTACATCGCAAAAGGCATGTTCTACCCCTATCGGCGCAAAATCGTTCTTGTGCGAGGCTACACCACAGTCGTCGCCGGCTATGATGACGCCCTCGCGAAGCAGAAAAGTCATATTCTGGACAACATTGAGGCGGACGATAGCAGGAAGTTCACGAGAGATTGGGAGAGAAGATTACAGTACTATTACAGCCTCTGAGATACCTCGAACACATCACACACCTCTACCCGGATGGAGCTAGGTTTCCCTTCGCTACCAAGCTGTCGGAGAGCTCACGTACGTGCCGCGCGCGTAATGTGTATGGGTGGGCAAACGCGGTCATAAGAGCAGAAATCAGCGTTTCAAGTGGGGAGTAGGACGCTTGGATGGATGGTATTTTACGAGTTAATCATGTCTCAGCTACCCGTGCCGTCTCGATATCTGCAGAATCCATAAAATATGCCTTACGGCCGCGACTCCATACGCTCATTTCCTTCTTGGACACTTCGTGTCGATTCAGGCGATGGGAATCTCAGTCCCGAGTCCTCGAGTCCCGAGTCCCGAGTCCTCGAGTCCCGAGTCCTCGGAGGCCCGATTTGGAATTACTGTAGTCCCCGCTCCCAAACCTTAAAAGCCCGCATAAGGATCTGGTCACATGACATTTATCCTCCTCTCCCTTCTGATTTTACTCATTTATTCATTTATCACTAAACTTATCAATATTAATTATTAAGACTCACTTTGCACATTCGTCTGTTACATAAGCTTTCTTAAGTCTTTCTTCTAACTCCAAGTTCTCCATAGTGGCAATCGTAGCTAGCAACTCATTATATTGCATTCCTACGTCTGTTTTCTTCATATGGCTTTAGGTCTTTCTTTTTTAAGGCTGATGTAGTCAGTCCTTCTGCTAAGAGCATCAGCTCTTGCATTCTTAGAGCCCTTGTGATATGTAATCATGAAGTTGTAGGCTGCGAGTGTCTCTGCCTATCAGACTTGTCTGCGGTTTAAAACCTTAGTCGTGGTGATGTAAGGATGCCTCCGTACCTAGATACTCGAAGAACCTGTCTCAGAACTGTTACGGTCACTACAAGCATGGAATCCGACTCGGTGGGGTTTCGAACCAGTAGAGGAGCATATAGCGAGTTACACTATAGTGGGGAATGGTAAGTGTATAGGGTTCAGGGCTGATGCAGACCTGTTGCGGTGGAAGGTTCAGGGCTAGGGTTGGGATAACAGAGTCGGGCCCGTTTCGGGTACTTAAGGAAACAGACTCAACGGGGTTTCCCCTTTATCTTTTTTGTATCCTTCGTAGTAGACCTATAGGATAGCATCCGTTTAGCCTCCGACTCGCACTCTCATATGCTATTACTGTGAGCTGGGTGCCCTGTGTCCTTACATTATACAAAAAAGATCACGCCTGCTGGGGACGGCCGTACTTAAATAATATCCCACACCGGAACGACTCAGGAGAACTACCGTTACACCATCGACTGCGACTCGGTGATGTTTCGGAGGAGAGACCTGACGACTTCAAATAGCCGTGATTCCAGAGATCTCACGGACAGCCAGTGGATCAGGGTTTGATTCTTCAGAACAAGCTGGTAAAGTCGCCGACGCGTTGGCGCCAAATAGGATACGAGATCCTTAAGAACCCCCTCATAGCACAGAGGAAATTGTGGACAAGAGCGTTGATAGCTACGAGCTACTGGAAGTCAAGCTCTTTCGTATCGGTACCGATACACACCCGAGGCAATATGTCGAAAAAGCCAACATCAAACATACCCCAAGACAACGACGGTCAACTGCCCAGAATGACTACCAGACAAACCACCGCTGCAGCTACGACCGCTGGGCCATCCGAAGACATCCCGAGTCGAATGGACCACCTCGAAGCACAGATACAGGAGGTCAAGGATCTACTAGTTATCCTGTCGGCATCCCAGACCAGAATCCCGTCCACACCGCCGGTGGACGCCCTATACCCACAGTCGAAGTTACGGAGCAACGAACGCCTCGTACACGAAACACCCCCGAGACAGTTCAATTGCCACCTCTTCGGAACACTCGTTCTCCCTCGATTCCAGGGTCATCACGAATGCACACCGAGGACCCTCCGAATCGCTATAAGAAATCAACCATCTCTGAGAAAATCCTTCCTCTCAGCGATGGGGTAGAACATACCTTCTTACAATGGAGCGCTTCGATTTGGGACCAACTCATAGTCAATGAGGACCACAACCTTACCGACGTCTCGAGAAGAGCGTTGATATGGGGAACTACGACCGGCCTGGCGAAGACCTACCTAGAGCCCCAATACCTGTCCGCTACGCATGGGTTCCGCAGTGCTGAGGAGATGATGGATCTACTAGGTTCATACTACCTCACAGGCAACGAGACGGAACAGGCCAGGAACCTCTTCGACGACCTGCAAATGGGAGAGAAAGGGCATGCTAGCGAAACCTTCCCAGAGTTCAAGGCTCGTTTCCAAAGTGCAGCTATCACAGGACAAGTCTCCGAGTCGGAATGGTTTCGGTACATGTGGAACAAGTTGACTCCTCAATTCCGCAGCCGCGTTGCGATCATCAAAAACCAATGGAAGGGAGAATACCAGACCATGGTACGAGAACTTACCGCCTTCGACCAGGAACGGCGCCGGAACAACGAATTGAATCTGCTACCCGCTCTCGCAAGGACGTCCACACGTACCACGGATACGGCAAAGGCGTCATCAGCGTTGAAGCCAACTCGAGCCACATCCGCTCTGTTCACCCGAACCGCGTTCCTCCCCAAGCCAGCCATACCGGAACGTCTGAGAACCGCAGTCCCTGCGCCCTCAGGAAACTGTTTCAAGTCTGGCAAGCCCGGCCATTTCCAGGACAAATGCCCCCTTAATGCTACTATCAAGGAAATGGACCGTAACGACCCCGAGGCAGAAGAACAATGGGAAGAAGCTGTGGAACTTCAATCGGATGCGTCCCTCGAGGAAAACGACGAGGCCTAGGAGAAGGCTCCTTCCTAGGTCTACGCAAATGTGACCTGTGAGGACTAGACTTACGAGAACTCCTGGGAGGCACCCAGTTCTTAGTCGACACGACCCTGAGTATGAATGGACTCGGGGTGCAAACAAAGTCCCTAGCAGACACAGGAGCAAACGGCTACCTCGTCATTAACAAGCCTTTCGCAATACGACTGTCGAAAGCGCTTCAGAGCCCTATACGGAAACTACCCTACTCTGTACCCATACGTGGATTTCAGCACAAAATCCAAGGCCACGTATCGGAGTATATTCGGTTACACTTAACAGTCGAAGGACGCCGAATATATAACTGCCCCTTGGTACTCCTGGACCTCGGAGCACAAGATGTGATAATTGGGAAGAAGCTTTTCAGCCGCTTCCGAATACTACTCGACTCTGCAAAGAGCCGGTTAGTATGGCCAAAGGAGTACCCGCCGACTCCTAGCTGGAGCAAGGAGATCACCTTGCCCTACCACTCACGCGAAACGTCCATTAAACATCCTGCATACCAGTCGGATGCGAATCGCCGGGATTTCGCAATCCACCGCGAAGACAGACGCCGCGCAGGCGGACGTTCAATGGAAATGAAAGTGATAACTTCCGACTACGAAGAGATCACCGATACGCCATCGAACCCACCACGAAACCAGGAGGTTTCTCCCCCACCGCAGAAAACCCTAATACATAGGTTTACGCCCATGCATATATGAGAAATCAGTGCAAATGCTTTCCACCACGAGATGATGCGAAACGACTCCGAGTTTTTTCAAACTAGCATCTACGAAATCGATCAGATCATTCATGAAAAGGAGTTGGTAGAGGACGAAGAAACGCTCCGCCTCATCCAGCAGAAGCTTCCGCATATGCACCGGAGGTACACCGATGTCTTTTCGAAGTTGGAATCGGATCGAATCCCCCCCCACCGCATATACGACCACAAGATACAGCTCGAAGCCCCTTTACCAAATGCTTTCTCCCCGTTATATCGACAGGGCACCGAAGAGCTTAAGGCTACCAAGCAATACCTGCTGGAAAACCTGGAAAAGGGATTCATCGTCAACAGCAACAGCCCCTTTGCATCCCCTATCCTATTCGTAAAGAAAGCGGATGGCAAATTAAGATTTTGCATCGATTACCGGAAGTTAAATGGTCTCACCCAGAACGATCCCTACCCCATCCCGCGTATCGATGAACTACTAGGACGGGTGTCGAAAGCAAAAATCTTCACGAAGCTAGATATCAGACAAGCCTTCCATCGTATACGGATGCACCCCGACTCGGAAGAGTACACGACCTTTCGGACTCACTATGGATCCTATAAGTGCAAAGTGCTGC